GGGGGTCCCTGGGGGATGGGAAGGGGGCAGGGAGGGGCAAAAGCCAGGCGGGCAGCGCTGATTGGCCGAGTACGTGGCGTCATCAGTTGCCGGGCTGATGGAGCTGAAACAGTTTGACGAAGGGCGAGGCAGGGGGCGTGGTCGGGGGCGTGGAAGAGGGCGGGAGGGGCGGGGCCACGAAAGTGAAACCTAAAGGCAGAGCGGCGGTACGCTGCTGGGAGCTACTGGGGGTCTGGACTGGGAGCACTGGGTGAGCCCCAGGGTGCCGGGTGGGGTCCGGGGGAGCTGAGGGGGCTGGACTGGGAGCACTGGTCTTGACTGGTGAGCACCTCAGGGTGCTGGTCAGGGTCTTGGGGATCCAGGGTGGGACTGGGGGGCTGGACTGGGAGCACTGGTGTTGGCTGGTGAGTACCCTAGGATGCTGGGCAGGGTCTTGGGGATCCAGGGTGGGACTGGGGGGCTGGACTGGGAGCACTGGTGTTGACTGGTGAATTCCCTAGGGTGCTGAGCACCATCCAAGGGAGCTGCACTGGGAGCACTGGTCTTTACTGGTAAGCACCCCCAGCCATGGCTCTGCTCCCCGCCATCCGCCTGGCCTGCCTCCTGCTCCTGGTTGACCTGGTGGTGCTGGCAGCCCTGGCCCAGCTGGCCCCGGCGCTGGCCCATTTGGGTCTGGCAGCCACGTGGCTGGAAGCCGGGCTGCGGCTGCCGGCATTAACTGTGGCTGGGTGGCTGCTGGCGCCGGGGGGTCCCCGAGGAGCCGCCGTCGTGCTCAGCCTCACCCCCGCCGCCTTCCTCACCCTCCGGAGCCTCTTGGTGCCGTACAGTGCCGCACCGGTGCTGCTGGCCACGGCCGCGCCAGTTTGGTTGGCCTTGACCCACGGCGCGACCGCTGCGGTGCTGCTGGTTTGGGCTGTGCCGTCGCCCGGCAGGGGTGTTGGTACCGAGTCACCGGTGCCCGTGTGGCAGTTGCTGGTGCTGGCCTTGGCCGAGTGGCCCGTCCTTGGCGGTGCCTTTTTCTTCCTGGTGTTGGCTGTGCTGGGTGAGTGATGGCGGACGTGGGGTGGAGGGGGATCCCGGTGGTGCCGCCACCCCCCCACGCTCAACACCCACCCCTACCGGTGCCCGTCCAGGTGAGACCGCGGGGCCGTACTGCACCGGCAAAGCCCTGGATGCCATCCAGCATGGGGATGGACCCACCGTCTTCACCATCGGCCTGGTCCTCGCCGCCGATTTGGGCAGGTGGGGATCCCTGTGTCCCCCTTGTCTGTCCGTCTGTCCCCTGCAGCCGGGCTGACAGGGGTCTTTGTGTCCCATCCACTCCCCTCCACCCCGCTCCCAGCTCGCTGTTTGCCGGCTGCCGTGGGGGTCTCTTCACCTTGGCGCAAGCCCGGCTCAAACTGGGCACCTGCTGCCAGCTCTTCTCCCGCCTGCTGCGCCAGGATCTGGCCTTCTTCCAGGGGACACCAGCAGGTAGAGGGGGGTCTCCCTCATCCCTCCCCCGCCCCCAGGGCCCTCAACCCCACCACTGACCCCTCACCATCCCCTCAGCCGAGCTGTCCACCCGGTTGGCCAACGACGTGCCCTTGCTGTGTGATGTGGTGCCGAGGAGCACCAATGTGGCATTGCGGAGCTTGGGGATGGCGTTGGGGTTGGGTGGCTTCATGGTGGGGCTGTCACCCCGCCTGGCGCTGCTGGCGCTGCTGGAGGCGCCCCTCATCATCACAGCACGCAAGGTCTACGATGCCCGGTACCAGGTGACGGTGGGGACAGGATGGGATGGAGGGGACAAGATGGAGACCAGGGGGATGGATGGGATGGGATGGTGGCAACAGGCTGGGATGCGGATGGGATGGTGGTGATGGGGTGGGGACAGGACAGGATGGGATGGTGGGGATGGGATGGTGGGATGAGGACGAGGAGATGGGATGGGGACGGTGAGGAGGGGGTGGGGAGCAGAGAAATGGGATGATGGGAATGGTGATGACAGGATGGGATGGTGGGGATGGGATAATGGGAGTGGTGGGGACAGGATGGTGGGATGAGGACAGGGAGGCAGGATGGGATGGCGGGATGGGTACAGCAGGATGGGGGGACTGGAATGGGGACAGTGGGGACAGGATGAGGATGATGGGGTGGGATGGAGACACAGGATGGGACAGTGGGGATGGGATGGGGGCAGTGGGGATGGGATGGTGGGATGGGGACTTGCTGGTGGGGATGGCAGGGAGGGGATCAACGGGGACAGGATGGGGTTGGCAGGGATGGGGACAGCGGGGTGGGGACCCTGGGGTGGGGGGGACAGAGGTTTGGGGCTGGTAGGGAAGGGATGGACAGGTCCAGGCCGGTGGGGATGTCCCATCGCCACCCTATGGGTGCTGAATCTGGTTGCCCCTGCCCAGGTGCTACAGCGAGCCATGCTGGATGCCACGGCCAACATGGCGACGGTGGTGCAGGAGGCTGTCTCCTCCATTGAGACAGTGCGGACATTCGCCGGGGAGGAGGAGGAGGAGCACCGCCACAGCCGGGCAGTGGCCGAGATGCTGGGGCTGAAGGACCGGATTGACGTGGAGCGGGCGCTCTTCACCCTCATCCAGCGGGTGAGGCAGGCGCAGGAGGGACCCTGGCATTCGGGCATCCCTGTTCGCCCACCCCACCCACTGACCCTCATCCCTGCAGGCGCTACAGCTGGCCATGCAGGTGCTGGTGCTCTGCCACGGGCACCGGCAGCTCCGTGAGGGGACCATCACCACCGGCAGCCTCGTCACCTTCCTCCTCTACCAGGCTAAAGTCAGCCACCACGTGCAGGTGAGACCACATGATGCGTGTCCCCCCCCGCACACACCCCGTGTCCATCTGTCCTCGTCCCCAGTGCCAGCGCCTCTGCCCCATGCAGGCGCTGGTGTTCGGCCACGGTGACTTGCTGAGCAAAGCGGCAGCCAGTCGCAAGATCCTGGAGTACCTGGACCGGGAGCCCACCGGGGACACTGGGGGCACGTGGGCGCCCACCACGCTGCAGGGCCACGTCGCCTTCCAGCACGTCTCCTTCGCCTACCCTGCACGCCCTGAGCACCTTGTCCTGCAGGTAGAATCGGGGGTCTTAGGGGTCCCCAAGAAGGGGATGGGGGTGTCACTGAGCACCCACCACTTCCAGTGCATTTCCCCCACCTTTGCCCCCCAGGATGTCTCCTTCAAGCTGCACCCCGGCGAGGTGACGGCGTTGGCAGGACTCAATGGCAGCGGGAAAAGCACCTGCGCGGGGCTGCTAGAGCGATTTTATGAGCCTGGGACCGGGGATGTGCTGCTGGATGGGGTGCTGCTACGGGACTACGAGTACCGGTACCTCCACCGCCAGGTGAGGGCAGCAGCAGGCGGGCAGGCAGGCAGCAAAACTGCACTGAGCTGTGCCTGGTCTCAGCCTGCGTCTGGGGGCAGGTGGTGTTGGTGGGGCAGGATCCTGTGCTTTTCTCTGGCACCATCCGGGAAAATATCACCTTCGGGCTGGAGAGCTGTGGGGAGGAGGATGTGAGGACGGCCGCTGCCGCCGCCGGTGCCCTGGGATTCATCTTGGCGCTGGACCGGGGTTTTGACACCGGTGAGTGCTTGGGGAGCTGGCGGGGGGACCCCCAGGCACCCTTGTCCCGCTCACCTGCTGGCCTTTTGTCTTGCAGACGTGGGGGATAAAGGGGGGCAGCTCTCGGTGGGGGAGAAGCAGCGCATCGCCATCGCCCGGGCCCTGGTGCGGCGACCCACCGTCCTCATCCTTGACGAAGCCACCAGCGCCTTGGATGGGGAGGGCGAGGTGGCGGTGAGTGGCGGGAGGTGCCGGGGTGGGGGGGTCCTGGCTCCACCATGGGTGCTGATGGGTGCCGGCATCCTCCGCAGCCGCAGCAGTGGGTGCGGAGCGGGTGGGCCCGGACGGTGCTGCTCATCACCCACTGCCGACGGATGCTGGAGGCGGCCGACCGCATCGTGGTGCTGGAACGCGGTGCTGTGGTTGAGATGGGGACACCCGCCGAACTGTGGAGCCGCTGTGGGCCTTACAGCCACCTGCTGCAGCGTGGCCCCGGCGCGGGGAGGCCAGAGACCCCAGGGGTGGACGGAGAGGAGTGGCGGCCGGCTCCTGCCCCAGCGGCAGGGCAGGAGGAGGGGACTGCTGCTGGAAGGACAGAAATTAGTACGAAATAAAGCAGATTTGCTCCAGAGAGGAGCTGGCTGGGGCGTGGGGGTGGGGGAGCTGCCTGGCCCGGCTGCAGGGTCTTGGGTACCAAAGCCACGCACTTGCCCTCCAGTTGTCACTGTCACTATGGGAAGTGCGTGGCGCTGGCCTCGGTGTGAGATAATTAATCTGCTGGCCTCCCCCTCGTGACAGCACAGCCAACTGTCCCTTAGATCACAGAGGCTTCACTCGCTTGAGGCTGGCGCAGTGTTCTACTGGTCCACTTGCTCCTTGCGTTGACGTTCTCCAGGGGCGTGGCTCTCGGACATCGACGTGATGGGGCTCTACCCAGGCAGCAAGGTCCTGCTGCCATAACGCAGCAGCCCAGAGGGGTTTACCTCTGCGACCATCGCTGTAGCCACCCCACAGGCCATTGGCCACCCTCTACCAGTCAGTAGGGAGACAGAGTACTGGCCACGTTTCTCAGGCAGCAAGCTCTAGGGCCAGCTGGGTGGCTTTGACTTCTGCAGCGTCCCTCGAAAGATGGAGAGAGACTTCTTACCAAGGCCTGTAGTGACAGGACAAGCGCCGTGGTTTGAAACTGGAAGAGGGGAGATCGAGATTGGACATAAGAAATGTTTCATGATGAGGGTGGGGAGGTGATGGACCAGGTTGCCCAGAAAAGTCATGGACACCCCATCTGTGGGAGTGTTCAAGGTGAGATGGGACAAGAGGAAAAGGCCTCAAGTTGCACCAGGGAAGGTTTAGATTGGATATTAGAAGAAATTTCTTCACTGAAAGGGTTGTCAGGCACTGGAACAGGCTGCCCAGGGAAGTGGTGGACTCACCATCCAGCACCTCAGATCTTTCTCGTAGTGAGGGGCCCAAAACTGCACACAGTATTCGAGGTGCGGCCTCACCAGTGCCGAGTACAGGGGGATGAGCACTTCCCTAGTCCTGCTGGCCACACCATTTCTGACACAAGCCAGGATGCTCTTGGCTGCCTTGGCCACCTGGGCACAAGGCCATGGGATACATCTCCGTATCTACAGTGGCCCACCGGTGCCTCTTTGGAGCCTTGAAGTATCTTCACTCCCTTGAAGTATTTTACTTTCAAGTCAGGGGTCTGATGTGCCAGGCCATCGAATCCATTTGTCCCTTTCCCCTGCCCAGCCGGGGGCAGGACCCCTCGTCCTGATCAGAGCATTCGTCACCTGACTCCTGCAACTCCAAACCAAAACCCTTTTCACCCCAAGAGGAGCCCACGTCTCTCTCGTCCAGGCTGCGTTGCCAGAACTAGTCACAGGCACGATCCTACGGTGGTCCAGCATGGTCCTTCCATGGTACTGGGCGTGACGGTTGACCCCACATGGATGTATGTCCACTTGATCAGGATCAGAAGGAGGAGAGGTGTCCTCAGCCCATCTACTGTACCTGGGGAATTGCTCGACAGCCACCGGAGCAGCCATCTTCCTGGATGGTCCCTTTTTCGCCACTGTTTTTCCCCCACAATTCTTGCTTGTGGGCTTCCAGGACCAAGGGACTGCAGGCCACCACAAATGCCCTCAGGTACCAGATATGTTCCTCTCTGGTAGAACACTGACCTCACTGGGTTACGAGATCTTCCTTGAGTGGATACTTTGCTTCACACTCAGAAGAGCCACCTCCAGAGGCAACGGGTGGCTGCCCCTCTTCCAATCCATCCAATCCCACAGTCCCTAGCAATGGATCCCAGCTGCTGGGCTTCCCTACCTTCTAGTTCCAGCCTGTCAGCCCCACCATCCCAGCATCAGAGCAACCAGGCAGCAAATATCTTCACCTGGCTGACAGACACAATCGTTCCCTGTATCTCGCAGCCCGCTCAGGGATAGGGACCAGGTTGTTCTGCCTCTGCCCCCTCTCAGGGGAAGAGTCCACTGTGTGGACTTCACTGGGACCCCTTGACTGCAAGAGCAACTATTATAGCTCAGAGTGGAGCCCCTGGTTTAGTTGCAGTGACCATTTTCATGACCTCAAATCAGGAGACGTTTGTCTCCGTGCCTGTCTGTGTGGCCTCAGACCAGGAGATCCTCTTCTCAGTGCCCGCCTGTGTGGCTTCAGAGCTTGCCACCTCCACTGTAGGGACACGAATACCCAGCCAGTTCCTGAGGAAAAGCTGGGCAGTCCCCCTCAACCCCCTCTTTTCCCTTTTTATCGTTGAGTATGACATGATATGGCCTGCAATATCTCTCATTAGTTTGGGTCATCTGCCTGGTTGCGTCCCCTCTCAGCAGCTTGTGCAACCCCCATCTATGCAGTAGGGGAGCCAAGTGAGAAACACAGAAGGCCTTCATATTGTGCCAACACTGTTCGCATCCATCGCTGTGTTACCAACACTGTTCTGGTCACAAATCCTAAACACCGCACCACGCTGGACCGCGATGAAGAAAATCAACTCTATCCCAGCCAAAACCAACGCAGCCCTCGACCCGAGGATGTGAGCGCAGCCCAGGCATCGGGTGAGGAGACACAGCCTGACACAGGATGGGGACCATCATTTATTGCGCACGCCAAGAAATGTACACACGTGGAAGAAATCAGCTGCAACCTCAAAATTAAAGAACATTGGTAATAATTGCAGCTCTCCAAGTATCAGAAAATAGGATGTTCACCCACCCAGAAGAGCCACCACCACAGCCAGGGGTGGGCAAGCGCAGCGTGACAAGCTCTCTCTGCAGGCAGCTCTCAGCCTCCTCCAGCACCTCTCTGCGTCCAGCCGGCAATAGAGCAGGGGGCCGAATCCAACCACGTGCTGGCCCCTCGTGGAGCAGTTAGATGGTGAGCCCTGCAGGGACGAGAGGAAGAGACAGCGTCACCCAGGGCAACCTGTCTGTCCCCAACCTGCTGCTCTGGGGGTCTCGGTGTCCCTCTCCTGTAGCCCAGTGTTGCTCCGGCTGCAAGTCCCACAGTGGAGCACAAAGACCTGGGGTGCCCCGTCCATCCCCCCTGGTCCCACACCATACCTTTGGTGGAGCTGTCAGCCCCGCCATCCGTGCCTGTGAGGGAGAAACAGCCGTGAGCTGCCAGCCCCGTGCTCGCTACGGGCACGGTGCACGTGCCAGGAGCCGGCCCGGGAGCCACGGCCACGCTGAAGCCACTGATAGAGCAGGATGGAGCCGTGAGCACCAGAGAGGAGACACAATCTCTTCCATACGTCCCCGCTACAGGGATTTAAAGAGGGGCAGCACTGGGAGGACAGGGGATCGGGAAATGCCAGCAGAAGCCAGAAACCCGAACTGCAAGAACACCCCAGACACTGGGCAGCAGCTGGATCCGGACCTGCTGCCGGTACTCACCTGATGGTGGGTTATAACCCTTCTTCTTCCTCCCTGCAGAGAGAAAGAGGCATCAGCATCCACTGTGGCCACCAAGCTCAGAGGCTCCCCAGAGCACAGCAGCTCAGTCCCGCAGCCCCTTCCGGCCCCCCAGCCCCTGCCTTCCTCCCGCACCCCTCTGCCTCGCCGGCCCCATCACTTTACCTGATTTGTACTTCCATAATATGAATCCAGCGATGATGGCAATGACAAGCAGGATGGCAAAGGCCACCGCCAGGATGATGGTGAGCAGGTTGGACTCCATCTCTGGGGGAGAGCAGGACCATGAGGAGGGGAAGGGGAACCACCCCAGCCCACCACCGCTCCACGTGCCCAAGGCCACCGGGCTCACCCCACATGAAGAGGCCGGGCTCGGGCAGGCTGGCGTGCTCCACGCGGCACCGGTACTTGTCCTTCTCCTCTGGAAGGGCCTCGATGGAGGCCCAGGTGTAGTAGGTGCCATCGCTGTTGGGCGCGATGCTGCCCCGCTCGGTCTCCTGGTCCCTGACCTCGCCGTCCTTCAGCCAGCTAACGGTGATGGGCCGCGGGTAGAAGCCGTAAGCGCGGCAGTACAAGGTCAGGATCCCGTGGGCCTCCTTCCCTGACACTCGGACCATGGGGGGCTCTGGGGAGGGGGTGGCGGTGAGAGCCGGCACACGCACCCACAGCAGCCCGTCCCCAGGGTCCCCGTCTCGCCCTCACCTTTCCTCTCCAGCACGGCCCGCCCGTAGCTCACGTATTTCCTCAGCCACTCGATGCAGGTGTTCTGCAGGTAGTGCTTCCAGTGCTCAGCTTCACTCCCGTCCTTCTCCCACTTCCTCTTGGTGATTTCTGCTGCTGCGTCTGCTGCAGTGAATGTCTTTGTGTCCAAGTCGAAGGCGATGAAATCCCTCCCATCATAGGCGTCCTGCCGATACCCCCTGGTGCTGCCGTCCTCCAGGATGTCACAGCCGTACATGCGCTGCAGCGTGTGAGCCCCTGAAACACGACCAGGGAAATGGGGCTGAGGGGCTGCTGCAGCCCTGGGCCTTCAGTGGGGCACGGACCCCC